TCCCATTCCTATCTCTCTCCTCTTGCTCGTCGTCTCCTTTTCCCTCCTTCCTCCTTTCCTTCTTTTTATCTTTAATTACGCTTGAACTTTTTTCCACCTTCTCCTACGTCCTTCTTCGTTATATTTCTTCTGTACTTTACATCCTCTTTCGTATTTCTTCCATTTTGTTCCTCCCTTTCTTTATTTCTCCTTTTGTTTTCTCTACATCCTTACTTCTATCCACTTTCTCTTTTCCTTTCCTTTCCTTCCCCCTTCAATATCTTTTTTCTTCTTTTTTAATTCTTTTCCATATCCTCTCCATCTCGTACTTTTCCTGGTTCTTATTTTTCTTTCTCTCAGCTCCCTAATCTTATCTTCATCCCTTCATCTCTCCTTTCCTCTCCAATCCAGTTATCTCTCTCTCTTCCTTCTCTCCTTTCTATTTCCGGTCCCCTCCCTCCTACCCTCCCCTTCTCATCCCGTCCTTTCCGTTCTTCCCTCCTTCTCCTACCCTTCTTTCCCTCCCTTTAGCCTCCCTACATCCCCTCCTATCTCACCCTCTCTCTCCCTCCTTCCCTCCTATCTCCCTCTCCTTCCTTCCCTCTCATCTCATCCTTCCCTCCTCCTATCCCTCTCTCCTCTCTCACCTCCTAACTTCCCTCCCATCTCCCCCTCCCTCCCTTCCTTCCCTCCTCCCTCCCTCCTATCCCTCCTATCCCTCCCATCCTTCCCATCCAACCCCCACCTCCCTTCCCTCCCTCCCTCCTATCTCACCCCTTCCTCCCCATCGCTCCTTCCCATCCAACCCCACCCTCCCTTCCCTCCCCCTCCCTCCGTCCTGTCTTCTCCCATCTCCCTCCAACTCAATATCGCGTTCGAAGTGCTACGACCCATTCGTCTATTGGCTAAGTCATTTGCATGTAATGTATTTCACACACACCTCACTGTCAGTTTCCACTCTAAACGCCAATACGGGGACGACAGAACAAAATCACCAGCCAATAATAGGTACACACAAATCAAGGCCAATATCGGAATACCCCAAATTGTCGAGATACCGGAGTTTTAATAAATTCTTTTGCTGTAAATCAAGCTTGAGGAGGAAAGAGAGGAAGAGAACCCGGGGGGGGGGTGGGGGTGGGGGTGGGGGGTTCTCTTCCCTCCTCATTTTCCTCACTCATTCCTTCTCCCCCCTCGACTCACGGTTTTGTAAGGGGGGTCTTTTCTTCGTTTTTTTTTTTCGATTTTTTTTTATTTTCTTTTCTTTTCTCTGTATTTTCCCTATTTTCTTCTTTTTTTTTTACTTATTTTCTCTCCTTTCTTCCTAGTTTTACTCCATCTCGGTCTTATCCTTAATCTTTATTCCTATTTCCTCCTCCCTTTTCCTCTTTTTTTTTCTTCCGTTCCCCTCGTCTCTTCCTCTTCTCCTTTTTCCCTCCATTCGTCCCTCTCCCCTTTCCCTCCCCCCTCCCCCATCCTTTTCGCTAGACATACCCTTACGATTCCCAAATGACCCCCCCCCCCTTTTTCCCACCCCCTCCCCCGCCCCCTGTGACCCCTCAACCATTGCGTCCCCCCCCCCCTCACCCCCCTCGTTTCACCACATCCGGGACTGTTCTGCTACTTTTCGTCTTTCTTTTTTTCTTCTTCCCTTTCTTGTTTTTGTCTTCGTTTTGTTTCTGTGTTTATTCGTGGCTTTCCTGGATTTTTAGTTTTTGTCTTTCATTCCTTGTTTTATGAGATTTGTATTGTTAATTATGATGATTTCTCGGTTCTTCTATATGTGTCTCTTGCTTTATCCCCTACTTTGATGTATGTAATTATCTTTCTCTTTTCCTAATTTGTTGTTCTTTCATCTATTTTTTCTCGTTCTACCCCCCACCTCTCTCACTCTACCTATCTATCTATGTATCTATCTCTATCTCACTGTCTATCTCTCTCTTTCTCTTCCCTCTCTCTCTCTCTCTCTCTCTCTCTCTCTCTCTCTCTCTCTTCTCTCTCTCTCTCTCTCTCTCTCTCTATCTCTATCTATCTATCTATCTATCTATCTCTCTATCTCTCTCTCTCCTCTCTATCTCTCTCTCTCTTCTCCTCTCTCCTCTCTCTCTCTCTCTCTCTCTCTCTCTCTCTCTCTCTCTCTCTCTCTCTTCTCTCTCTCTCTCTCTCTCCTCCTTATCTTCCTCTCTTTCTCTTTCTCTTTAATCTTTTCCTCCTCTCTCGCCCTCCCTCTACCCTTCTCTGTTATCCGCCTCATTCACACATACTGACCTACATAGAATATACAACATTTTTTTCCTCCAAAACCTCACCCTCATACATCACATCTAACCGGAAAATATACGAAGTAATAGCGTCCTTCCTTTCTTCCTCAAAGAAAGAAAAAGAAGGAGAAAAAAATGGATAAATAAAGGAGAAGATGAATGAATAATCAACTATGCACACGCTTATTTACAGAAGCTTTTCAATATCAACGAGATCTTGCACGGACTCTTTAAGTATTCCCTACACAGATAAGTATTGGTATTTTTGATGTTTTTGTATTATTTTTTGATGCTTTCTGTCATTATGATCAATACTGAAATGATAAGGTTAACATTGAAAATGATAATGTCAATAAGAAGGATAACAACAAATATAAT